GCTGAAAATGGCGTGAATGCAGTTTTTCAGCTTAAGGAGGATGAGATCCTATCTCAAATTGCAGAGAGTGTTAACTGCAAAACCCTAGGTCGAATTCTTGTAAATCTCTGTTAGGGTTTTCTCCTTAGTGATTAAGAAACCTCCTAATCCAATTAGGAGTTATCCCAATCCAAATATGTATTTGGATAGGGGATAATCTTAATCCTATCTGCAGATTAGATCAGCCCATTCCTGACCTCATCATGAGTTTAGTCTTAATCCTATCTGCAGATTCACCCCTTTAAGTGGGTGATTAGATCAGCCCAGTTCGAAATGGGCTTTTAGGCCCAATAAGTAATTAGTGCTCAATAAGTTTCCAAACTGCTGCCCAGTTGAGCTTCTTTGTATGGCGTGGGACCCAAGCATTGATCTCCACATCAGCCACATGGGTTCGACCCAGCCTTTGTTACAAGGCTTAGCCGAATTCACTGAAAAACCCAATGAACCCCTTGGGCCCATCACATCGACCCTATGGGCCCAACACTTACACTAAGTGGTCCCTAGGCCAAGCCATCTTATAAAAACCCAGGGACTATGGGCACCCTATGGGCCCAACACTTACACTAAGTGGTCCCTAGGCCAAGCCATCTTATAAAAACCCAGGGACTGTGGGCAGATGCATACCACACAACATGAATCAAACATGTACTTTATTTATTTACATTAAATATCAAAAGTACATCAAAATTGATTAAAGCTAAGGGCATACAAAAACTGTCCAACAACAATACCTAACTTGAGACCACCTCTCTTTGGTTTAGCACAATTGTCATTTACACCCTCAAAAAAAATAAAAAAGGGTAGGGTGTATGATTGCACTTTAAGAGATAAGAGAAAAAGAGGAAACGAATGTTAGGAACCTGCCTAACTCAGGGCTCTTCGAGGGGCCAACCTCCTAAATTCTTGGAAGGAGAGAGAGAGAGAGAGAGTTTACTGTTGAAAGTGTCCTTAATTCTGAAAGAGTCCTCCTTTATTCCTTTTTGGCTCTACTACTTATAGTGTTACAATCTTGACTGTTACAACTGTTACAAGTGGATGGCAATTGTGACAAGTGGTTGCTGATGTGGCCTCTTCTTGTAACTGACTTCTGTTGGTCTATTCCAACAGTCTTGACAGTCCAATTGGGTGGCAGTTATTACAAGTGGATGGCGGTTATTACAAGTGGCTGGTTAGTTGAGCTGATGTGGTCCTCTTGTAAAACTAACTAACTGCCTTCTGTTGGTCTGTTCCAACAGTCTTGACAATGAACAACCATTTTTCTCTTAAAGTTAAAAGATTCCTCTAAAGAGATAAGTGTTAAGAGGAGATTAGCACGGCCCCTGCGCAAGGATGACATGCACAAATCGAGAAATGGTCCAAAAAGAGATAAGAGTTAAGAGGAAACGAACAGAGCCTAAGTCCTTGATACACTCTCTTAATAAAGACTTAAGGTCCTCTTTTGACCCTATCCACCCCCAAGAAACTTCTTTGCTTAAATTTAGAATTTAGGATTTTTCTCTAACCATCTTGACCTGGAAGTAGTACCCTTTGCATTGAATAGTCACCATCACCTTCTCTCTTACATCCATACCATCTTACGCCAATTATCTCTCACTTGTTGCCACGCCACCCCCTTCCTATTGTTCTCTTTTTGAACTGTCCTCTTTCTTTTTGCTTCATCTTCCTATCCTCCGATCAACCTCCTCCCTTCCAGTGAGGATTTCTGACCATAGCCATCAGGTCAAAGGTTTGTATTATTGTATCCTACAAGTGAGATATAGTTGTAAAGGTGGAAGGTAAGGTTATACATATCACATAGGCCATACCATTGCATAGCAGTTCTTGACAAATATGTCCAATAATTTGCAGGATTTTCATGAATACTTCTATTGTCTCAGTTTTTGATATAGAAGTATGATGAGAAATGATCCAACCAGAAAAACTCCAAGCTTATAATCCTAACTAAAAAACTTCATAAGAAAAAAGAATTAAAAAATATTATTATAATGAAAACTTGCAGTAAAAAATCAAAAATATAAAAATTAAGGAAGAAATATTGATTATTAGTTTCTAACAATTTTTCAGGGCCATACAAAAGAGTATTGAGTTGTGATTCTCATGGGTGGGATCCTTCCTACTCATTTAGCATCGGCCAACACTTACCATATGCTTCAATGCAGACAACCATCTTGGGTCATAAGCCCATATGTGCTGTTGTTGCAGCATAGAGTGCCTGTGAGTCTCCTTTTCCTTACAGGTTTGGGGAGCATTCAGCCTATTATGAAAACTTGTCTTTACAAAATAGCCCATGTGGTATATGCTTTGAGAGAGTTATGGCTGTTTTACATGTGATACGAAAATTTTAATTTTTCTATTTTCTTACATGCTGTTTGGTACTGTTGGCGTTTCATCCAATGGCTTTAAGGTAGAACTAGAAATTACATGCCCAACATTTAGGTACAAAACACAGAGCATAGCATTAATTGGGATGTTTAAGAGACATAGATACCACCAGGCACCACTTTCACACAAAACACAATGTATGGCATGTGTTTTTTCCTGCTTCAAGTTGAAACAGCTCTTACCAAACATGATTTTCAATCATTGTTGGAATATCCTGATGTAGCCCTGAAACAGGAATGCAACACCACAGTACCAAACATCCCCTTAGTCTCTCTTAGAGTTGTTTTTGGTTTGTTTAGTTCCGGTAGGATTAGTAATTAATTATTAGTTATTTTAGAAGTTGAAGTACTTCTTTAAGTGCGGCTATGGGTTACCTATAGGTTTGTGTTAGTTCTAACATAATTAGCAGTTATTTAGATCAGTTTCTTGGTTGATTTCATGTTTGTAAAGGGATATCCAATCCCTTATTGAGTTTATAAATAGACAGTTGTGTACGAATTTGAAGAAGCTTGGTTTCTTATTCCATATTTCTTTCCCTTTTCTGTATCCACATCACAGTATTATAAGAATTCAGAAAAAATGTGGCTGGCTAAACTTATAATGGTAATGCTTAACAAAGGTTCCAGCTAAAAGAAAAAGAATTGCCATATCAGAGAGAACAGAAAATACTAATAAAGAAAGAATAGAAGAAAATACAACTCAATGTAATTCCAATCCTTAGCTCAGAGGACAATTTTACAAGACAACACCATGCATATGATCTCCAAAGCATCTACCTTTGATAGGAAAACCAATTCAGAAATCAACATTGATAGACTAATGGACTAATGTAGTTAAAACTAACAGATCATATAACATTTCCAGGTAAATGGATAAATTCTATGTTTCTCCTCTTCATTTTTGAATCTGTAAGAAGCCCCATGTTTCTATCACACTTAACCAAAGGGCATGGTATTCAGGATGCAAATGCCTTACTCAAATGAACCTTTTAACCAACCCAATATAGTTAGCATAAGGATTTTTGAACTCTGAAGTTGACAAATTGAGTAACCGAGTCAGCCACTTATTCTGAGAAACAAAGTAGTGAAAAGAAGAAACAAGGTAGAATTGGAGACCCCCAGTCTTTCACAGGGCATAATTTTTTTACATAGGGGTTCCTTTGTAAGAGGTTTTTTATTGTTCTTTTTTTTTTTTTTTGATCAGCTAAGAGGTATTTATTGTTAATGACAAACTTTGTTTTGACTACGTTAATGATAAACTTTATTGAAATCTATCAAAAAAAAAATGGTAAACTTCATTAAATGTGATAAAAGAATAGTATGTACAAGAACCCGGGCTCCCTTTTATTGGCTGGCTTTCACCACCTAACCACTGCTATTACTTTGACATACAACTTTAACATGTAATTATATTTTTTTGTACGAAGCTCCCTATTCCATCTGCCAAAAAGTTACCATACACCTAAGTTTAGGAATCTCATTGATGCAGGATGAAGCCTGAAAAAATATCATCAGTGGTAGTTATCACCACCTATGTTTTTTATTGTTAATGACCAACACAGAAATCAACATTGATAGACTAATGGAGTTAAAACTAACAGATCATATCACATTTCCAGGTAATTAGATAAGCTCTATATTTCTCCCTCTTCCCTTTTGAATCTGTAAACAGACCTGTGCTTCTTGTCCCACTTCAACCAAAGGACATCATGGTATTCAGGATAAAATGTCTTACTCAGATGAACATTTTAACCAAACCCAAAATAGTTGGCATATAAGGCTTTTTGAACTCTGAATTCATTGAATTGAGCAACCACGTCAGCAACTTATTCTAAGACACAAAGTAATAAAAAGAAGAAAGAAGATAGAACTGGAGACCTCCCACCCTTTGACATTCCTTTGTAAGAAGTTTTAAACTGTTAATGACAAACTTTATTGAATGTGGAAAAAAAAAAAGAATATTATGTACAAGAACTTTGTCTCCCTTTATAGGCTGGCCTTCACCACCTAACCACCAACATTATTTGTTTTTGATAAATAAACCACTAACATTACTTTGACATACAACTTTTACATACGGTTATCATTTACTAAATACAGATTCCTTTGTAAGAGGCCCCCTACTCCATCTGCCAAAAAGTTCCCATAACCTAAGATTAGGAATCTCATTGATGCTAGATGGAGTCTGAAAAAAATAAGAAAAAGAAAATTTTGAAAAGTACCAAGAAATCAACACCTAAGATCATCTAGGAGTCAACACCTAAGGACACAATTAGGAATTAGGACTAATAGCTTATTAAAGGAATCAGTGCCATAAAGAAAATAAGAACGACTTGAATGTTAGAAGCAGACACATCATACGAGTTAGTAATCTTAGCATGCAAAGCTTACTATAGCCTGTAAGCTGCAATCAATTCCTAAAATCCGAGGTCCTTTCTGAAGTGTCATTTCATCATATATTTTTATTAAAAAATCATTCCATGGCAAGCAGCAAAATATCCAAACTCCCTTCTTGGGAGCAAAGACCCTAATGAGATCATTCTATCCAACACCACAACCTAAGAACACTCTTTGACGACCTAAAAGCTAAAACCCAGTGCAACAGCTTAGCTAAGTAGCAAGCATGTATGCATGTAATAGATCCATTAGAGCAGATGTTCTGATTACATGATATACAGTATAAAAATAAACTTCAATATCAATTTAGTACATTGCAATTAGAGGCTTCAAAAGAAATTCAAGACCCACTAGACAAACATTGATTGATCAAAAGTAATCACTTTGTGGCTACATGAACCTTTGGACTACTGTATAATATTTGCAACCAAGCAAAACATTAAGCCCCTTGCTCACGTATAAGCCTCTACATCTACATTTTTATTGAAACAAAACTATATTAGAAGAAGAAACAAGAGAAACTCAGCAGGAGAGATCTGTACACAAGTAAGCAGTAAACCAACTCAGGCTCCTCTGCCACTTCAATTCCTCTACACGGGAGGTATGTTGGAGAACGAGAATCCTTTGTACCCCTTATATGCATAGTACGCAATCCGCGTATAATAGAAACCAGGAATGAAAAGAACCGCTCCTAACGCCGTGAAGAAAAGCCCTAAAACCACAGAATACCAAAGCTATAATTCGAAACTGCCCAATAAAAAATTAAAACAGAATATCATGGTAGAAGAAAGTCCAGAAACCCTAGCTAGGACTCCATACCATGAGCTCTATCACCGCCGACCCTGTTGTAAGCCATGAAAATCCCCAAAACGATACCTAGAGTTCCGAATATGAGAAGGGAGATTGCGAGAGCGATCTCTTTGATGGGTGGCCGATTGTGAACGACATAAGAAGCCTCAAAATCGAGGTCCTCATCTGTAATCGAGAATGCGTGATCGACATACGCCATTGATGTTGCTCGAGATGCAGAAATCCTCAATATACCGAAGAAAATTAGTTTTCTATTTCTTTTAGCGGACGGGGGAGTAAATCTGTAAATGTGAAAGAAACGCACGCAGAATTCGTAAAGAAACCAGAGCAAAAGTCTAACAAGGAGACTTTTAGGCGTAATCGACTTTTATTGGACAAAACCAACGAGGTAAGAGAGCGAGAGAGAGAGGACGAAGCGTGTCGACGACTCTCGTTTACTGCGTCTGTAGTGCGCATTGCGCACCGAGTCCCTTGTGTTTGCACGTCGCAACGAAGCTCGAAACGCGTTTGATTGGGAAATCAGCTTTGGTCCTCAAATTTCAGCCGTGTATTGGGAATATCTCCCCTAACTGAAAAAGGCTGTGAGGCCACATCCGAACTCTTTGATAATTTTTTTAAGATTTTTGACTCTTACAAATCCTATAATTTGTGAAAATATTACTTTTGCCCTTTTATAATTTACTAGCGGGGAAGCTTGTATCCGAAAGATTTAATAATTTTATTTATTATTAATTAATATTAAATTAATAATCAAAATTTATTATTAATTAATTAAAAATATTCAAAATTATTTTTAATATTTAAAATTTTAATAATTGTATTTTTCATTTAATATGATTTACAGAAAATAATTATTGTTAATTTAATATGAATAAATATTTTTTAATAAATTTAGTTCTATTAATAATTTGAAGTAATTTTAATAATAATAAATTTAGTTCTATTATTATTATTATTTTATTTATTATTATTATTATTATTATTATTATTGTTGTTGTTGTTGTTGTTGTTGTTGTTGTTGTTGTTGTTGTTGTTGTTGTTGATGTTGGTGAAAGGATGAGATATCCATCATATGGACGCGTTTACGCCCAAAGAAGGAACCAAAAACTGCTCCCACTGAAGATGGCGCAATGCAGGATGGAGCAGAATCAGTAGCGCTCTTCAAAAGAACCAGATCATTCGCAAGTATAAGCTATATGGCACGTGATCACTTCTTCTAATCAGCCCTTTCACAAAGGACTGATATCAAGATCCAATCTTGATCACTCCTATTGATAAGAGGAGATCGAACTGGCAATATGGCGGCGGCAGGAAGGAGGCGGCAAGAGAGATTTAGCACAGTGAAGTGTATTCTCTCTTCTGTGATTTCAACTTTGAAGAGGATGTGAATATGAATATCTTCTAAAGACTACCACCCCTTCCTCCTTTTATAAGCTTAAAGGGATCAGCTCCTAATCCCATTAGAATTTGCTGATTCAAATCATATTTGAATCAGAATTCCCTTTAACTGATAAAGGTAAACCCTTTATCTTATCTTAACATTAGATCAGCCCCTCCAAATCCTATTAGGAGGTTTCCAGATCTGAATCACATTCAGATTTGGACTCTCTGAGTGGATAGGGTTAAGGCCCAATCCTATCTGCTAATCTAATATCAGAATTCGCCCCTCATTTAACTGATCAAATCAGCCCAGTTCGAAATGGGCTTTAGGCCCAATAAGATTATATGCTCACTTAGCCTTCCAAACTGCTGCCATGGAACCCAAACATTGATCTACACATCAGCTAAATGAGCTGGCCGGATACACTATTATGGATAGTGCACCCCCTGAAACCCATCACATGGGCTCTATGGATTCAACCCAACTTTTGTTACAAGGCTTGGATACACTATTGTGGATAGTGCACCCCCTGAAACCCATCACATGGGCTCTATGGATTCAACCCAACTTTTGTTACAAGGCTTGGCCGAATACACTATTGGGGTCGAGTTGGAAGAGTTATCTTCTTCCATGTCAATCACATAAAAATTGGCAGGAAAGACCAAATTATTAACTTGGACTAGGACGTCCTCTAAGACTCCTTTCGGGTATGTAGTAGACCGATCAACAASTTGTAAGATCAYGCCCGTTTCTTTTAATGGTCTGAGATTCATGGTTGTATAAATAGAATGGGGCATGACATTTATTGAAGCTCCTAGGTCTAGCATAGCTTTCTCGATCTGGACATTTCCTATCTTACAAGG